ATCCGACTCTAGGGCCATTCCTCAGATACAACGGGTTGAGAAAGCTGCTGTCCCATCAAAGGGACCTGTGCAGCGTTGACACAAGTCATTCAGCGTCCGATGGCAGCCACCAGAATACGTGTCGTAGAAGCTGAAGTAGACCCGAAGGAGGTGGCCATCTCTGCGCCGGACCTCCTCTTGGACGGCTGCCATCGGTTCTTCCTCTGTTCCTTGTGAGCCGCCGGGATTTGGGGTCCGGGGAATCGCCAGAGCGCGCTGCAGACGCGAGAGGTCATAGTGACAGGTCGCGTTTGATGTAATTACATCATCTGATTCGGCTCTTTCAGGAGGAACATTTTGTGTTGTCCATGGAGGTTCGAGGAGTTAAGTTCCCCCCCTGAGAAAAATCAGGGCATCTCTCAAGGAGAATCTCCAGGTAATGTCCCGGCCACATTTCTCATTTTGTGCTCCAATAGCATTGTATAAAATCTGTGGTTTTGATGTGGAAAATGAAAATATTTAGGAGGTCAAAAATCGAAAATCCGCCCGGGACATTACCAGGAGAGTATGTTTATGTGCAGTTTCTCTATACAAAGTCTTCCGATCTGACTATCCTACAGACCTCCACCGACCGCACAAAAAATTTGCCACCGTTTCCGTGATGGGAAGCATTACATAAGCGGCGTTGATCCCCGCAGACTTGCCTGTCCCCACATTGTTGTGCGTGCCTTGCCCGCCACCGCAACCTCAATCCCAACGTAGCCACCGCCAGGACCTGCGCCAGAGCCTGAGCCCACTGGGCACGAGGAGAGCCAGGGAATAGACGCAACGCGCCACTCGCACAGCCAGGCAAGACATCGACGAGCATATGCACTCACTCAGACCTACTGCATCTGGACGAGACATGCCCGCATGCCAAGCGCGGGCCCGGGAGCCCACCACCGAGAGGAACACAGACTGTAGCTGTGACCGACAACAGCGCAGGACGTCCGCACCATCCCGTTGCATCCCCTCGCCCATACTGCTCTAGGCGCCGCCCTCATTCACCCCCCGCAGAATGACACCAGGAGAGGCGCGCTCTCGGGCTGCTGTACCCATACAGCACGAGAGGCGCAGTTGCGAGGGACGACATGCATGGAGTCTGGACCCATTCACTGCGTCCGCACCCACTCTCCATACGGCCAACACCCCCACGCTGTCGGGTTGCCAGAGGCAAGCACACTGTGCGTGGTACCATGTGCCTAGAAACCTGCACGCCAGGCATCCCAGTGCGTGCGCCGAGGCCTCCACCGACCCACATCTTGCAGCATCAGACGCCTCTTCATCCCACGCAACACACACACGCATCCCTCATCTCCGACAGAGAAACAGTCCCAAAATCGCACTACTGTGCGTGCAGCGGAACGTCAGGGCAGCCAAACCCCACTGACACCGAGTGCAGTCTCCCAACACAGCCCCGAGCTGAGCTGCATGCACCTTCACAGACCCGTATCCGAGCCGTTGGCAAGTCGCACTTGTCGGGCTCGCATGTCATCATAGTCGACAACGGGCAGCTCCATCGCAGGGACGACACTTATGCGCGCGCCTCCGCTCCCGCACATGCGTGCACGTACTGCACACGGCACCCCGCATCTTCATCTGCCTGCGGGGCGTGCCACACGCTGATAAGCAGGATATTGAACCACCTGTGAAATTGCTTGTTTTTGCGATTTCCATACTTACAATATCCTGTATATCATGTTTCTGCGGTATCGACTGGCTTTCCATAAGAGGCCAGTATCACCTGAGTAATGGGATGATGTTCCTGAGTAGTCAGGAGTGTCTCTGGCAAGTGCTCGCTCTGAAACATGTAGGAGACAGTGTAGCCCAACTAAACATATCAGTCGTATCACTGGTTTTCGCTGTTTCTGCTGTTTCTCAACATCAGATCAAGTGGTTTCCGATGTATTGAGCATTTCGGTGTGGGTCATTGAGGAAAGCATGCCAAGCATAGTTGCAGGTGACATCGGAACTACCATTCCGGCTGTTCCTAGTCAGCGGCTATGTCGGACATGAGTTCACGGGTATAATAACTGCCGAGTCTTGTGATCGTCGATCTCAGAACCATAGCAGATACTGATGGGGATAGTCAACTCCAATTCCTGTCGGTCTCTTTTCATGGTTTCCTCGAAGTGGGGTATCTTTCGAAAGCTATAGACAAGGGCTACAAGGTCTGACTATACCGATTCAAGGGATACTTCAGGAACAGAAGTTCCACAACTCAAGAAACACTTGGCAGTCACGGTTTCAAGTGCCCATCACGACACCATGTGCAAGATATTACCAAGGAACGGTCAGAATATACCCGGAATGACGACTTCGACCTCACCGACCAATGGGACACTTTGTAGTCTTTATAATACTCCAGAAACACGGGAAATAGGACGGATAAACGGACACTTTACACATTTCTTTTATTGTCATAGTCATATCATGTTTGTATAAATAGTCAGAGTAGTTTCGGTAGAAGGCAGCGAGTAGTTTCCCCACTAGCAGGTAGCAGTACCTGTGCCCAAAGGAAACGACTCCCGGTCTTTCGAGTTTCACAAGTCCTAGATACAGAGCCAAAACCCGGATCTGAAAAAGACCCGGATCCGAAAAAAAGCGATTTTGAGCGGCATCCATGCGACGGCTCAGCCGGGGTTTTTTTTTTGTAGAATACTTGCAAGGACTAGTAATAATCTGATGCAAAAAAAACGGACCTGTCTCAGGGTTTTGCGTCCACAAAAAATCAAACAATTGCCAAAAATGGCCATATTTTGCCGGTTATGGCGCATTTGATACCAAAAACATGGTTATTTGTATCTACAACACTTTCTAGAGCGAGTATTATAGGCTGGAGTAACTAATCGACGCCTCTGACCATTATCAGGCGGTGTTGGAGTCCGCGAAAATTGGCTCATCGACGTGCTATCATTATTCTCCCCATCTGAGTCTGAAGAGCTGTCACCTTGTGTCCTGTGCGACCCGCCCCTCCTCAGTCCACTCCTGCGGTCTGGAATTGCGTGAGGGAGACATGGGGGTGTGTGTCCTTGACGTTTGGTGTGTTAGCTTGCGTTAGACGTCACTTCGATCTGGCATCACCGGCATTTTTCGAATCTAGGTCAAACTTGGAAATCGACCAAATAAGTTCAGGCGCCGTGCAATATAAATGCTCAATCAAAAATTCTGAAAATATTTGAGGATACACTCTAGGTTATATGCTGTACGCTAGCCGATTCAGAACTTTGAATTTATCTCTCACAGTCGTAAAGCAGGGGGTCAACTTTTTTTTTCAGATCTGGGTTTTGGCTCTGTACTTGTGAAGGGCGAAATATTGTATAGCCTGGAAGGAATACCTGTTTGGAGTTTGTGATTGAATTGGATATCTGGTTTTTGGACTTGTGACTTGTGTGATCGAGACTGGCGGAAGTGATTTTGGATTTTGATATTGGATTTGGACATTGGGAACGACGACTGGCGGAAGTGAAACAAGGGAAACGACGACTGGCGGAAGTGATTCTCGGATTATTGGATTGGGATACTGGATTGGACTTGGACTGGGACTTGGAATCGACACAACACGCGCTACACACTTTTGGAACAACACTATCATCGCGGATCTTTGGGATACACATCGGAAACTCGGGAAACATCACTGTTTCTTGTGTTTCTCAACTTGGTTACTATAAAATCGTATTTTCATCGGTCGAAACAGTTGTATCTTTTGGATCCTCTGTTTCGTCTGTATCAGAAACACAGTGTTTTGTACAACAATTATATTGAACAATCGACTTTCCCCAGCAACCTTTTAAAGGCTCTGAAACTAGGGACTGACACTCGTCAGCTACCTTGGAAGTAATTGAAACAGCTATCATACATCGTCTCTGGTGTTGGTTGTGGATAGACCCGATCTATCTCGTCCAATATTGGTCTTGTTGTTTTGGTTTTGGTTGTTTCTTGTGTTTCCACACTGGGTTCCGAGCACGCACATCCACGCACACATGCGCAAGGCCACCTCGCACGCGCACGCCCACCAGCGCCCCGACGGTCTGCATCTGCACGTGTGGCCCCGGAGCGAGCATCCACTCCCACCCACCACACAGGATACACTGCGACGCGAGTGCCACCGGACCGGCGCTGCCAGGAAGGACGGGCGGCGCATCATCGCATTGCGCCCTGCGCCTACACCGACTGTGATCTATTACAGCTCGGGGAGACAGCCTGCTGCGCCGCACATGCGTACGCGCACCCGCCACCCACCCCTCTCTCTCCGCAATCCCCCCCCCCCCCCCCCCCTCTTCCTCCTCCAAAAGAAACGCACACTCACCCTCCCCCACACACAAATCCACCTTATTCCCCGAGTGTACAGCTGACATGTGCATTGGCGTGAGGACGTCTGCGAGCCAGGTGCGGACGTTCGAAAGAGCGGCAGGATGTGGCGTCGTAGAAGAGGAGGCAGCTTGTACGCGAGGCTGAGGGATACATTGTTAGCACTAGCGTACTGGAAGTAATAAAGGAGGCAAAACGAACAGTAGGATCCGGATTCGCGAGAAACCTCTGGTCCATAAGTCGTACAAGCAGCGACGACTTGCCGACTGCAGCGTCAGCGGTGATGAAGAATTTCAGGACATAATGCCACGCAGGGCTTGCCATTTTCGATTCTCATTATTCCCGTGAAAAATCTTGTAATCGACTAGGCCCGCATCGAGTGGCGTGCAAGTCAAGTCAAATAATCCTTTCAGGAATTCTTAGTGGTGCAAGGAGAGTAATCCAATAGAGCTTAGGATGCAAGTCAAAGGGAGATCTATGGACGCCTCGACTGGACTTGAGTTTAGACGGGTGAGTGTTACACGAGAGTTTGGACGAAAGAGGAAATGACGGCAGCCAAGGCAACGCGTCGCTCATTGGCTGCGGCCACGTGCTCTGCCGTGATGCCGATTCTGCTGTCTTTCACTTGTCTCTCTCATGTTATTATCGTTCTTCCACCTTGCAGACACATTGACTCGATGGCGCACTGGTAACGCATCCACTTGAAATTTCCGAAGGCCAGATGTTTGTGTGGAATGGCTGGTTCGAATCCGGCTCGAGTCACACATAAGAGGCATCAATTTTTTTTGGTTGCCCCTCCTTACTTCTCCACTATTCTTTCCGTGTATCCCCAGACTGACATCTCTCAAGCCGCAGATGAAGTCATCCAATTATTTTCTCCACCATTTCTCGAGTCCGTGCTGACATCGAGCCGTTGATCATCATATCTTCAACACTGAAATCAACGCGTTACAACGTCCTCGGGCAATTTCTTCCGAGCCCAAATCATCCTTCCCACGAGGCTCTGTCTTTGCCGTTTGAAAATAGGAAACATCAAATACTGCATTGCATTCGCTGAGACGTTTTGAATTTAGACTCGCACGGTTTGATTTGAGCCCGAGTCCTGGGAATTAAGTATAGATAGATGAGATGAGATGAGACGCAAGGTATAATACCGACTCAGTGGGCAGCTAATCTATTCCACCCTCTCCTGTATCCAGGAATTCAGATGAAATTAACCGACTCGGTGGCAAAATGTATCGCGTCCACTTCATATATCGATCCCGAGGTTCTAAGTGGAGGTTGCCCGTTCAAGCCGGGCCCGAGCCATAAACAACAACGTTTTTTGTTGAAGGGGGGCGGGGTGTCTTTTTTTCTCCTTCGCCTTCGACCCCGATTCCTAACATCGGTTTCTCCCCTATGGCTTTCGCACTCACGTGGCGGGAAAATCTCTGGGGAGTTGTGTGGTGAATGATTGGCAATTGCGTGAGGGAATAATTATTGAGTCACGTCCTCAGCGTACATTCAGTGGTCTCTTATAGTGTAGGTCGGAGTGGAGTAATTTTCCACCACTTTTATTTAGGCCAGATGCAAGATGCACACTGACTCGGTAGCGGAATGTATGGCGTCCGCTTCACATATGCACTCAGGCAAATATCCTGAGTAGTGGAAGTTGCCCGTTCGAACCCGGCCCGAGTCATAATGTGGTTGACAATGCTTTTTTTTTTTTTTTGCATTCCTGGAAAGACAAAATCAGGTTTTTCATTGTCTAATATTTTTGACCCCGTACTTGGCCACCTAAGCATTCGTACCTCAGTATCAACCTGTGACATCGTTCCCCATGGGCAAAACAGTGTCAGATGAAGGGCAGACATCCTACGAAGAGTTTAAGCCTACTCCCACCCAAATATATGAAGACTTGTCCTGGCAGTGAATTCTTTTCGGACGGCGGTTCAACAAGGCCAAATACCAGGGTAGTTGGCCACCTCCCCAAATCAAGCATTGAAGTCGGAACTCAGCAACCGGAGCCATCGGGAATTGCAACTAGGGCATATATTCATAATTAGAACATATATTAGTCTTCATGTGGCCCATATGCGGGGTGTAAATAAATGCTCTTCCGACAGGGAAAAAGCCCGGACTCAGGCCGCTCAAGCAATGCCATGTCTAGCAGAAGAGGAAATTTTGCTAGGCCCCAAATTGGGCTTCAAACAGCGTGAAAGAAAGATATACAGCGTATTTGCATCAATAACTTCGTACCGAGGTGCTTGGAGCACACCAAAAAAATCCCATTGTTGATACGATCAAAATTGTGTTGTTTGCGGCAAAGTATTGCACTGCGAAAGGAGCTGAGCAGATAAAGTTTTGAAGTACATCCTAAATTGAAGTATTGGACTTGAAAAACCCTCGTGCCAAGTTCCAGATGGGTAACCTCACAGTGTTATCTTATACGATGTCGGCCAATATGAACAACTCAAAAAAACAGCTGTGCCTTCAGGGGAGAGTAACAAGGAAAATTCTGACCCAACCACAGAGGAAGTTGTAGGAGATGATTTGCTAAGACCAGGGGAACAGAATGAGCCTACGAAGTCCCGGAATGGCTAAGAATTGGTCGAAAGGGAGCTGAGAGAAGAACGCCGAGCCGCGTCGGCAATAAGAAACTGATGTTCACACGTCTCGGAGCCCGATCCGACATGTCGTAATTGTCCATCAGTTCATCACCCTAACTCCAAATTCGGTTCAGACATTTGTTATAGGTCCTACTATCATCCCTCACTATGCCAGGTTATAAGTGTCAAGGCTCAGCAAGCTAGCTACCAAATGGCCAACTAGGGGGGGTGGCCAACTACGGGGTCCAAAACAGTATAACCGCGTAAAATCTGTTCGTTGGCTTAAAATTGATTTCCATGAGTGGGGCCTGGATATGCTTGCACACTCAATTTATTGAAAATGTATTCCGCCATGTACTTTTGAGTCTACATAGAAGAACAGAAGAGGAAGATACATTTTCTTTTTCTCCCTCATTATTCGGTCTGGAGTTTAAATCGCACAGCTCTATTGGATTTTCCACCGCTAGTGAGTGGATGGTTCTATACCGCAGAAGTGAAACAGATTTACTAAGACAAGTATTCAGGGTCAATTCATGGTGCATACCGACTCGGTGCCGCAGTGCGCCACCTCACATAGTCCCGCATACAATGTTGCAGGTATGTGGCCGGTTGGAACGAGGTCCGAGTCATGTCTCGTTAGCAAGAGGAGTCTTTAGCCCCCCACAAACCATAATTTCGTTCACTGACCACCATCCTCTCCATCGCAAGTTTATTCCCGCTCACAAACCAATCAAAGGTTGAATTTATGTTATCATCGGGTAAGTGTAGGTACGATGTGAGATGCGCAGACTTATCATGTCATAGATAAAGCTTTGAATTCAAAGGGACGCAGCAATTCGGTGGTGAATGGTCCGTATTTCTCGATTCATTCATGGTCGGGAGTCTCATGCGTTTGATTCCTGTTTCCATTTATTCCTTTGGGCTTTCTGGTAGAGTGGGCTACGAGCCGGGGAAGAACTGACTGAGGACCAGTGTCCAGAGACCGCTTACACATGTTCAACTCCCCTACACCACATCACACAGAAGAATGGCAGGATTTCCTGTTGGCCGCTCGGATATACGTCCTGCTCTCGTATATATCCGACGAGTCGGAGTGAAGTACATCCGGCTACCTGTGAATACCTTACGCATCTGCTATCCTTTCCTTCCTTTCCTCGTCCAACTATTTCGTGTTTTAGTACGAATGTGACCGCTTGAGTAGACTTAGAGCAGACCAAACAATTGTATGAGATACAGATTGCAGGCACGTGTAACGAGCATCTCTCGTAACTCATACTCTGGGATACGAATTGCAGATGCTCGGAGATGCAAATAGCAGTTTTCCCCGGTACAAAAACGAGAACAGGCGGTAAAGGCTATCTGCCGAGGAGCAGCACTTTGTCTACAAAACCAGTCACCTCCGGCATCTACAGTACCCACGGACAGCATCTCGGAGATTGCACATAGCAATTTAATTTACCCAGTAAAGGAAAACATCTTAGATATCATTGCTGCAGTATATAAACGGATCGTAGCTCATTCCGCTCAGTACCATCAAATGCCTGCCTCACCCTCCGTCCAAGTAAATGCAATGAACAACATTACAACATGTTTGACCATATCCAGGAATACTTTGGACCTTCTTGCCCAGAGCCTCAATAGCCCCTTCTTGGAAGCCCTGTCCAACACCGCTGGGTCTCTCTTGAAAAATATTCAGGTGAATTCTCAATAAATTTCCCAAGATCGAGAATCTTACTGTGACATATAGCTCGTTAAGCAAAACAAAAGCAACTGCATCCAGTTGTTAAAGCAAGCTCAGGAACTGCTCGATGCGGTGATCACTGTCCATATTGCGTCAGAAACGGCCGGCGAGTTGCCACCGGATGTGTTGAGTCAGATTGGAAAATTCACAGAGCATGTTGCGGGTCTTGGATGAACATTTGGTTGATACTAACCTTTGACTGTTTAGAACCCTTCACAAGATTCATGCCTTTGTTGAGGCTCAAGCACATAGCAAAAGACTCAAAATGATCTTTCAGCAGGGAGCACTGAGTGCATTACTTAAAGATTGCAGAGCAGGATTGCAAGAGGGATTCATCAATTTTCAAGTGAGTCATATATTTGGCATGGTAACAACTCCGGAAATAATATATAGGTTGAATCCCTCTCATTGATGAGGGATGTTACCAAGATGCAAGAGGATGCAGAGAAGAGACACCAAGAAGTGCTCGACATGATTGAAGCCCTCTCCAATTCAGCAAGCTCAGATGCTGCATCCTCCGTATGCAAAATCTATTGTCGGCCAGCCATGACAATAACATATGTATAGATGGGAAGGATCCACTCAAGTCCACATACCAGGTCAGTCATTTCCGAGGAAATTCAACAGTATTGCCCTAATGTTTTACAGCTCCAACTCAATCTCTATGCTACCATCGGAGGCACAGATATTCTATGGCCGAGACTCAGAGATTGCAGCCGTTGTAGGCCTGTTCAGCCAGAAATCTCCTAGAATTGCAATTTTGGGTCCAGGTGGAATAGGGAAAACGAGTCTGGCGAGAGCTGTCGTCCATCATCCAGACATTGCAGCTAGATATGATCAACAGCGATTCTTTATTCCATGTGACTCTGCAGCAACCAAGGTGGAACTTGCTGCTCTCGTGGGAGCCCATTTGGGGATGAAACCCGGGAAGGACCTTACTCGTGCTGTTATTCAGCATCTCTCAAGTGGTCCACCCAGCCTCTTGCTCCTAGATAATTTGGAGACTGTGTGGGAGCCTACAGGAAATCGTAGGGATATTGAGGGATTTTTGTCCCTGCTTGCAGATGTGGATCATCTTGCATTAGTGGTATGTCTAGATCTCACATGCTAAGGGTTTTACTCATGAGTCTCAGATCACAATGCGTGGAGCAGAGAGACCGGCTGATGTTGCCTGGACTCGGCCATTTCTACTACCTCTGAGACCTCTGGTGCAGGGTGCTGCTCAAAGGATGTTCATTGACATTACAGATGACAGATATGACATGCAGGAGGTGGATAAGGTCCTTGCCCTTACAGACAACTTGCCACTTGCGATCAGTCTATTAGCCCATTTGGCAGACTCGGAGGGATGTTCCAATGTGTTGTCTCGCTGGGAAACGGAGAAGACATCAATGATTTCGGCTGGTTATGACAGGAGAGATAATCTGGAATTA